AGCTGGTTCATGGTTCTTCAGCTAACTGAAATAATTGGCCTTTCACTGATATTCTTGAGGCACACAGTGAGTCAGTCCGAGGCAACCTTCCCTTTAAATTTCTCTTTTAATGTCAAGTGAGCAGTAAAATATTAAATCAGTTAGACAGTATTTTATTGCTTAATGTAAATGCATTATTTGTTTGGTCATTCACACCTGGGTTGCTCAAACATTTTATCCGGGGGGGGGCTAAAGTGCAATGTTTGATGTGGGCTGAGAGCTAAAAATGTGAAACAGTATACAAATAAAGCTGGGAGGTTTCAATGGAGTTACATGATACATTTGAATGTTATGTTCTTAACCTATATTTTATTAATGAAGCGCTAAAAATACAGAATTTCATAAGTAATATGTACAGTCATAAGCAAATGTTTATGCGCCCCTGGTCAAATTACATCCATCCATCCATCATCTAAACCACTTATCCTTCTGGGTTGCGGTGTGGTCAAATTGTTCAGCTGATTTTCTTAATGAAAATAAGTTAACACATCTTCTACAAAAAACACTCTTCTGCATATTTTAATGCACATTTACTGTTTATTTTCTGAATTTAACGTATTGGGTGAAAAAAAATAAAACATACAATGTGATTTATGCAAAACTTTTAGGTTTAATTTTTTTCCCAAAATGTTAAAAAATAAATAGAAGTTAAGAAAAGGTCATATTTAAGTTTGCTTGAAGAGGGTTTGTTATTATTTTCACTGTTTTCACCAAGTCAGTCATACTCACAGGCCGACTTTTGAACAGCCCTGGATTAAACTGTTCTTAATAAATCTATTCATTCTCCCTCAGTGAATTTGCTTTATGGCATAGTATTTTCAAAATCTCTGCTGGCATGCCTTGAATTTACTAGAGAAAAAGTGCCCTTTTTATAAGTCCACAAATATACAGAAACAAAAAACAATATGATTACACCTTTGCAGAATAGCTGGCAAAGCTGCTTTGCTGGCAGATTGGATCCAATTTGTCCCACTTATTCAACCGCAGAGATAGAAATGAAGTTCATTCAATGAATAAAAGAGAATCTGGCAAGTAAACTCACAAAATATAACTTACAGTGTGGCTTAAAATCATGCTGTAGAACCGTACACAGAATTAGATATTAGAGGTTGTAGGTTGTTGAGCACTAAAACAAATGGCTAAAATTGACTCCGCTCTTTAAGGAGACATATTGCCATTTCCATTGCCATTCTGAAGTGCAGAATGCCTGTGAAGTGTGTTACCAGTGCGTTTTATTACAGAGATATACTGCGTGTTGAATGACTGAGAGTTTGCTGTTGAAATCTTATTCTAAACAGCTTTAAAAGGGCTTTCAGTGTTCAGCACATCTCCAAGCTATTTGCATTGCCTTCTGGTAATTACAGAACGTCTCCTACAGACTTCTTCTTATTTTTCACATAAGCGAGAAATCGCTCTTCGACTTAGAGTATCAATGCGATCGACCTTGTTACTTATGCTTGAACTTCATTAAGCTCAGTTCAGACAGTCTTCAGACAGTGAAAGCAGTTAGGGGGAATCGCAGCCCACATTCAGCTCTTGACAGTGAATAAAGCTGGGGGCTTTTATTTGCAGCATGGAACCTCCGTATCTCTATCGCATATACAACACTGTAGTCCAGCTCCCTCCTGCCATGACATTATTGCAGATAAGTTCGACCAAAGCAGAAGCGGAGCTGAATTCTGATTCGTAGATCATACAGTCGATAAGCCTTGATTGCTTCAGCCGAGGCAAGAATGGTTGTAATCCAGAGGGATTTCTCTGCAGGTGCAGCCGCCTGCAGATTTTGTTAAAAATACATTTTTTAATACATTTTTTTCCCAGCTGTAAGATCCCACACTCACACTAAGGCCAGTGAATACTGGTGTTAGACCTCCCTTCTTGAAATGCCAGATAGATAAACTATCTGAATATGATGGTGCAAATCTTCCCAGATAGTCTCTCACCTGAGACTACACGGAAATGCCACCAGCACACCCACGACTCTGACCTTTATAGTTCCTGAATTAGACCAGACTCAGGCACATCTGAATGAGAATATGTGTTGAAGAGCAATTTCTATGTCAGAGTTATTTCTGTGCTACGCCTCTTGTGGGCCTATATTGTGTCTTATAATGTGCTCGCTGCATTTGCTTTTGAAATCTGTCACCGGTGAGAGTGGGAGGAAGAAAGAAAAAAAGAAGAGAAAAAAAACATTAAAAAGCCACACCAGCTGTTGGTCATGTCGCATTGTGTTTACAAGTTTCCCCTGATGTGGACAAAGGCCTCAATGGAAATATAGTGGAACAAGGAGCCATTCAGAGACAGGATTGTTCACCATGGCAACTTCCCCCCTCCCATCCCACAGAGCAGTAAAAGGGGCTTTTAGAAACGCTCACCTGTACGCCAAGCTGTTCTGCCTGCTTATTATCACCCGGCTGCTGCCATAAAAGGCTGCCAGGCCGCAATGGCATTTTTGATTACTGGGTAATTGGTGCTGAAGTTTATTATGTGAGTTTAACGGCAAGCCCAGACCCACTGTGGACTCTTTATCCATTGTCCTGTCACTGTGAGAGATTGGTTTTGAAGATGTAATCTATTTACAGAGATTTAGATGCATAGTCAGGTGCGAACCAAACTTCTTTGGCTCTTGTTAGTACATGTTTTTTGGTTTTTGTTGTTTCCTATTATAAAATGCTGTGTAACAGATGATCAGTCATTGTATTGGGTGTTTATGTAAATGTATGTAATGTGTGCAATTATGTGTCTGTCTGTCTATCTATCTATCTATCTATCTATCTATAAAATACTTAATATAAAGGGTTTCTTTGCAAAACATCTTATAGACCACATTCAGGAATTTTCATTTTTTTATGAAAGTAAAACACCATATAGCATTAAAATAAATACAAGAATTTACATCTTATCAGCTAGATTTTGATTAGTAGTGTCCATCACATATACTATATGATAGCACACATCAACTGAATTCTGTTTTCTTGTGCCGTTTACAGCTGTCCCAGACAGCATTTTACAGGCTTTGAATACTGATTGGCGTTTCTGAACAAATACTCAAATAGTCGTTCTCAATACTACCCTTAAAAGCATTAATGTTTACATTTTATAATTAACCATAATTAATAAAAGTCTGTTTGTTTCAGTTTTTGTAATAAACAGTTACATATTTATAGCTCCCTCTTTGCGATGGACTCCCAAAGATGCAGGAGACAGATGTGCTTATTATTTTGTCAGATAAGGAGAAAGATGAGTCTGGCTAGATTTTTGCTTATTTTGTGTAGCAGTGATGATACAGAAGTAAGATGTTATGATAAGATGGTTTGTTTAACACAGTGTTAATAAGGGTCTAACTCTGAAAATCAACTGGAATCCAGAAGTTGCAGAACCTTGTAGGGTCTAAAGGGTTAACAGAAGACAAAGCTTCCGAATACTAAATAAGGAAACAAACAAATGCTTGAGCATTCTAATTATTTGGGTCAGACTTAACTAAGTTATTAAAAATTATAGTGTTCTTAATAAAATAATCTTTGCTTGGCATTATGCTATGTTGCCTGGCAACAATAGCCTACTGTTAACAAACTACATTGCTTGGCAGAAGAAATAGTAGGGATATTATTAATAATAAATATAAATGTATATATGACAAAACATGTTCAAAAATATTTACATTCTATATTATAGTTATTTGTATTTATATGTAAATAAGTTTTGTTTCATTCTTAACAACACCCATTAACCATTATTGTGTGTGTGTGTAATTGTGTCTGTTTATTATGTGTACCTAATGCTTAGTGTTATTTGCTTTAGCACCAAAATGTCCCTCAGGACTTTTTTAAGTACATCTATCTGTCTATCTATGAGTCTGTCTGTCTGTCTGTCTGACTGTGATTGTCATCAAGTTCCTGGCTGATTTGCTCTTTCTTTTGCAGCATGTGTCAGAGCTGCTGGCTGTGGTTCGCCTTCCCTTCATCCACCCCAGCTATCTGCTGAATGTGGTGGACAACGAGGAGCTCATCAAGTCCTCAGAGCCTTGCAGAGACCTGGTTAATGAGGCCAAGCGATACCACATGTTGCCCCATGCCCGACAAGAGATGCAGACGCCCCGAACTCGCCCGCGACTCTCTGCAGGTAGACGCTTCAGCTCATCTAACAATAACATCACGCGCCATCAATGTGTGAAGTGTGTAATTACACTAGACACCATCTGTCATGATCTTTTGTCACTCTTCTAGTTATCCCTGTTTGGTTTACATAGAATATAATGTGATTCCCTCTTGGATGATCTATTCATGGTGTATAGACATTATGGCTTTTTTAAAACCTCAACCTGGTTGCTTCAGTCTGCTTCTGCTGATATCCCAATAGCCATGTAGATCTGCAAAGCAGAAGGGTCCCCTTCATCTCCTCTAACAGCACCTCCATGCTAATGCAGTTAAACATGCTGCCTGGAGTCCAGCCACAGCAGTGTCACATTTTTGCCAAAGAGAGTGTCAACAGTGGGTGTCACAGCACCTGCGCCGCTTATTACTGAGCTTTAGCCACTCTGCAAATTTCACTGATGTGTACCTAAGAAAAGCTCTGCTCTGTGAAACCGTTCAAGGATTTCCATTTTGAATGTCCCAGTCCACAGCTGCGAGTGGAGCTATAATCTTTCCATTATTTAAAGGTAAATTTACTGTTATTCCTTTTAGACCACCTTTCATTGTTTCTGCAGTAGAATGCCGAGTGTTTACCTTAACCCAGTCAAAACTTGTGGAATCTGAATGTGTTTGGTGATGGATGTATAACACATGTGGTTCTAAGTGCAAGAACGCTAAACCTGTTCACCCGCTGGTACTGGTACCTATTACTCCTCCTAAGCATTTCCACTTCCCTAATCAGAGACTCTGCCTTAAAGGGGAGTTCTACCGATTTTTCTCAATTTCTGCTAAATTAAGTGGTTAAGATGTTAACAAAGTAATTCAGAATCGATTGATGTGATACACTCTTGTCCGCAAACTGAATTGTCCATAGTGGTGGTGATAGAAACCAGACACTGGAAGAGATAAATGACTTTAAAAGCTCCCTAACAGAAAATTATTATATAAACACTGCCTGGTGCCTGAAAAACTGATTAGCGATCGTAATGTGACAAGGTTTTGGCATAATAATAATAATATTTTTTAAAATCCAGTCCCGATGGAGGGGTACATGCAGGGTGTTGTAAGGCAAAATAGTATCCAAAGAAAACATGTTTTTTCTAATTTACTACTACTATTAACATTACAAAACACAGAAGATGCATGTAGGTTCACTGGTCATTTTGGATAGTAAATAAAAGGGCTATATATGACATTTTAGACTTTGTGATCCCTTTTTCTCACCAACACCACTGTGAAAAAAACAAAACACCAAACCACTCTCAGTCTTAAACGCTAGTGTTTTCACACCAAAACACTCTCAGTGACTTGTTTATATCTCAGTGATTGAAAATTTAGAATAAAACAAAGATCAGTGGAGTTTAGCACTGTAGCTTATACCCCACCAATTCACATCATTGAAATCACACGTCAGAATTTTACACACACACACACTTTTTAAGCCACTTATCCTCCTGGGTCATGGGGTTGGTGGAGCCTATCCCAGCACTCATTGGGCAGAAGGCAGACAACACCCTGGACAGGTAACCAGTCCATCATAGGGCAGTCACACAGACATACACATTCACACCTAGGGACAATATAATGTCTTCACTTAGCCTGGCTGCATGTCTTTGGACTGTGGGAGGAAACTGAAGTACCTGAAGGAAACCAACACAGACACGGAGAGAACACGTAAACTCCACACAGAAAGGACTCTGGTCACCCGGCTGGGGAATCAAATCCAGGCCCTTCTTGCTGCGAGGCGACAGCACTGTGTGACATACATAAGAGTAGATGGAAGTACAGACAAATAGGGCCCCCGAGTGTCACAACCTAATTAAACATTGCCCCTATCATCAAGAGATTGCAAGTTAGGCATTGGAATGCCACAGCCATCCATGGCCGAGAGTCCAAGACAGCATATTAGGCCTTCCTCTGTCTCTCTCTATGATGACCACGTTTATTTGACTGTAAGTCTAATTGACATTAACTACATTAGCCCCATATCTCCTGTTCAAAACTAAAGAGGCAAACATTAGACACAAAACATTGGCTGGTGGAGTACATTGGCAGTAAGGGGGTAAAATTTTGGTTTATTTTTTACTATCGCTTTATGTGCGGTCTAGCGGTGACTGAAGAGGAACGTTCCCTTCCAACGTGCAGTTATCAGAACATACATATAGGCTCAGTGCTGACTCCACACACTCTTTTCATAACTGCTTAATCCACTCCAATCAGCAAAGGAGCGGCGGCTGGGCCGAGCCCCCTGCTGCCTGCCTCTAATACCTGTCTCGTTGCGTCTGTCAGCAGGAGAGACCCAGACACAGCATGATTCTTCACACAGCAGGGGCTCAGGAACCTGAAGGAAGGGCATGAATCCCAGCCCCGTTATCCCAGCATTACTGGATTAGCAAGCTTCGAATGAGTGTTGGTCCAGATTAGCACTACGTTCTTCTCCATACGCTGTAAGCTCAGAGGATCTGGGTTTATAGCTGCTACAGTGAGCTGCTGCAAGCAGAGGAGGGTAGACATGCTTATTTCAATTAAATAATGAGTGAAGTAAAAGTAGCCTGGCTAAAAACAGCTTCCCAATAAAACTGCAGTGGAACTTCTTATTACGTTCGCCATCTCTCAGCATAGAAACAGAAGTGTTATTTTGTCGTGTGATATTCTCCTCTTTTTTGGGTTCATCTGGCGTAACTTTTAAATGCTAAAATATACTTTTATTAAGGAATTAATTTTAATACATTTATATGCTTTTATCTATATTTTGTATGCTAAAAGTGAGGAAGTGAGAGCAAAGCAGAACAGAATGAAATTAAACACAAAATGCGAGTTAGTAACTTAATGTGAATGGTTTAAAATGGAACTGAGTAAAAAAGAAATCAGATTTTTTCTTCAAGTACAGTATTGTGTAAAAGTCAGAGACCACCTTTGTTTATTTAATTTCTAGTCAAAACAGCCATTAAGATACTACAGCCATCCATGGCCGGGAGTCCAAGAGAGCACAATTGGCCTTGCTCTCTGTTTGGGTAGGATGGCCCCCCTCCCCCCATCACTCAGCGCGATGCAAGTCAACGCAGGCGTCTGTTAGCTGACATAACATCTGCCGGTTGGCGCTTTCCTCCGAGCACGTTCAGCTATCCAGTGATGTTGCGTGAGCGACAGTTCGAAAAGATGTGGTCGTGCTTTACAGGTCTCAGAGGAAACCTGTGCTGGCCTTCACCATCCTAGCGCTGGCGGTGTTGTGTGATCGGGGGAGTTCTAACTAGTGGGTGGACTTGGATACGACTAAATTGGGGAGAAAACTGGGGAAAAATCAAAAAAAAAACAAAAAACAGGTATTTACTACACTATATTTCTTTTTCAGGGGAGATATAAAGTAATATAAAGATATAAAGTAATCCACTTGCACAAGGATGGAGAAAATCAAAGGAGAATGAGTGAAAAAACAAAAAAATGGGTGTTCAAGAAATGATTCAAAGATAGAGAGAGATAAACATGGAGAGAAATGGGGCTCTATCAACTTAAGGAAGACCTGAATGACCACCAAAACTGTCACCATCAGATAAACAATACTTAAAGCTTTCATCTTTAAAAACAGGAAAAAATTTACCTCCACTCTTGCTTCCGATCTGAATAAATCTGAATATTTACCCAACAGCAAGAAATTAATAACTTGCGCCCAATGGCTGTTGACATTGGAAATGAAATAACTGAAAGGTGGTCTCTGACCTTTGCACAATACTATGTAACTGAGAAAACAGAAAAACAGTAAATAGTTGAAATGCAATTTGGTTAAAATGTTTACATCCTGTCCACATGAAATATATTACCTTCACACATGTTTGTCTTTCTGTTTAGTTACTTTTGGCAATTAATAAACTTTGTTTATGTGGAAATGATGTATGCGTTTAAAATGGGTAAAATCAATGCATTACTTTTTTCCAGTGTAGCTGAACAAGCTTAGCTCGCTGGCAAAGCTGTCTCACAGAGTGTGATTGATGGGGTGGCGGTTTCCCTGTGGTACTGAGGTGTCAGGAATGGACTGCACTTGTAGATGTGGGGCCAGAGTTTCTCTGCCCCCGAGGCAGCGTGCCTCTCTAGGCCGGAGGGGGTCCATAAGCAGCCGGGTCAAACAGTACACACAATAGCTGAGCCGATCTATGCCAAGCATTTGGAGACAGAGGCACTGTGTGAGCAGATGGCCATGCCGGTCACGCAAGTTGTTTGCATCACTGTAAGGGCCTGCTGTTCTCCACCTATGCAGAAATCCAACATCTTGTAATACATAAACCTTTAGAAATAGAATGACTCAAATGTACTTTTTTATTGAAAAATTAATGATGGCAAGAGAAATGCAACAGTACTTAGGGTCCTCCAAGGGAAAATGATTTTGCAAAACTGGGCTATATTCTCATATTCCTCGATTTTTTTTTTGAACTGTAAGTAGTGAACATTGACGTTTCATTTTCTCCCACTGCACACGGCTGATCTTCTCTGCCCCAGCCTTCTGCTTTTGGAGGAGGAATGTATGTCATGAATTTTAATCCAAACGCTTGGAGATAAAAATCTTGTTGGCCAGTCAAACAAACTGACTGAGCCTGAAGCCCACAGACAAGAATCTCTTTTCCCCCCTACAAAAGTGAATCTCCTACTTTATCATTCCCTAAATAAATATATTTGTTGGGAAAGCTTTGTCTGCACAAGCCAGGGGAATAGTTCAGCACATCTTCATGTCAGACAGTGCTGCATTTTCTCTAAACTTAGTTCTGAATCTCAGGCTTGGGAACTTTCTGCTTTTCTAGACTCTGTGACTTCCATTTCTTTATTAATTTCTGCGATTATACAACCTTTTCCCTCATGAGTTTTATGAGACATTTCTTTGATTGTGCTTGTTGTTTGCTTTCCTTTTTGTTGTTTGTTCTCCCGACCGCCAACAAATGAGAGATAAAAGGCTCAAGCTGTTGTGAAAGCAAAAGAACCAACTGGCATGGAGGGTCCATGCCCTCTCTCGAAAAATGTTATAATGTATTAATAATTCATCAAAAAAGGACAGCATTTCTAGAAATGTCATTTAGATTGTCCTTTTAAATGCTGTAAAATATATATTTTTTTTTTCTAAGCTGGATCTACGCCTCTCCGTCCACTCAAAATGTCAAGCTGTGTTTTTTAAAATTATTTATTTATTTTTGTATTTTTTTGCTGTGCCTGTCCCTGCAGGGGTTGCCGAGGTGATAGTGCTGGTGGGGGGGCGGCAGGTCATTGGGATGAACCAGCGCTCGCTGACAGCCGTCACGTGCTTCAACCCCCAGAACAACAAGTGGTACCCCCTGGCCAGCCTGCCTTTTTACGACCGCGAGTTCTTCTCTGTCATTTCAGCGGGAGATAATATCTACCTGTCAGGTAATCAAACCGTCTGTGTGTCACTTGCAGGTTTGGAAGCCTCCCACAGGTGTGGGCTTTTATATTTAGCACAGGTTGGCAAGATGTCGTAGAGGCAGTGTTTCCACTTCTGCTTTTTCGATTTTCCTGGCAGAGTTATGTGTCACTGGGAGACATCTGTACCTTCATTTTACTTAATGAGTTTTCTGATGAAAGCAGCTGTTGTCATTCAATCTTCAACAATCAATCAATTAAAAAAATATCTAGAAATTAAATTAAATAATTTTAGAATATTCTTACAACAATATTATAATAAGAAGTGTTGGATATATGGGCTACATTAATTAAGACAAGATTAATTCACTTTTCAAGATATCCTGTTTTTCACTGTATGCTTTTCTTATTTGTTGACAGTAGCCACATTTACATGCAGCCTGATAATCTACTAATGAACCAACTAATAGCTCAATATGTCCATGTATACACCTCAACCGGAGTAGACTAGTCCCATTAAGGCCGTTCGGAATACAGTTTCTATCTGATTAAACGAGGTGGGAAGTCCTGTAAAAAATTTGTTAAATAGAAGAATAATAACCATGTAAACGCCTGTATCTGATTACATTCCCAATCGGAAAGTTTAAAGTACATTCTGCGCATGTTATAGCGAAAGTTTATAACGTTCAACATGGCGGGAGCAGAAACTGGTCTGCAGAGGAGACGAAGTTGATGCTTTGAACTTTAAAAGGTGGCAACGGGCAGCTTAAGTGTCTCAGAACACTTCCTCTTGCCCTTCTTTAATAAGTTCATGTGAAGTACGATTTCCTGAGTCTGACATCATTTTAAAACAATTAAAAACACAAATGCACCAGCTGAAAACTCAGGTAATTCTCTGCTGCTTGTCTCACACTGCCTGGACTTATGTGATGGTCACTGTCATGGTAACATCTACAATAAATGGTGCTCTACGTATGCGTGTAATTGTGAATCAGATTACTTGTAGTGTGCATGTAAACAGAGATTTCTATCAGAGTGTTGAGTAGAGTGAGCATATAAACACCTCAGTCATGATCTATAATCAGAATGTATTCAATCAGATTAGCAACAATCTTTGCATATATACACAGCCATTAAAACAAACAGAAAAAGCCACAGTTACAGACATGAATATAAACCTGTCTGTACAGAAAGTGAATTGAACGTAAATGTAATTTGTTATGCAAGTATATAAATAATTAGGCAGTTTACAGTAAAATGACAATAATAACTCCAGGGTCTAGACCTCTAGAGGTTAAGGACATTTTCCAGTTGCCCTTCTGTTGACAAAATCTGAAATTTGAACTGGACATTGACAGACATCGTAATACTTGGTCATGATTATCAGTTCTTTCAGCAGAATCAGTATCATAATGCTAAACCTAACCCCCGAGTGGCTTTCCGGGAACAAACATCACTTCCAGTTTCCTGCCATTCAGAGTCCAGCTGGAATTTGAGCTGTGCCATGTGTCTGTAGCTGGAACACGCTGGCCACAGTTTCATTGGAAAGGAAGGACAGCAGGGTTCTCTCTCTCTTCTGTTCTTCAGAGGTGTGCCAGCCATCAGACAGGTGCTTAGAGTTTGGTGCTTGGGGTTTCCTGAATACATTGAGCAGCTCTGCAGTACCGCAAAGCTGGTGCATCAAAAGCACACAGGAGAAAGTAGCTTTGTGCATTTCTTACTGGAGTCATATTAGGGAGATGTATTATACTAAAGTAAAATACTACTGTATTTTAATTAGCTCATATTTAATAAATCCAACAATGAGTACAATCAACGCTACCATAATAAAACGACCCTTTATTATTGCTTAAAAAAAAGTGTTAAAATGCTAAAGAAAAGTGTTAATATGATAGGCTACCCTTAAAAGTGTTTCTTTACCTCATTTCTCATTGAGACAGTGGCCCCCTGTACAGTCAGGTTGAATTCCATCTCCATGTTCTAAAAACTCCTTAACTGGACTAAGGAATGATAAGTAGAATGTGTGGAACTCTATCAAAAAATCGATCTCTGAGTAGGCCTGTACTGTGGAAGCAAAGATTTTCCCAAACTAGTACATCATTTAGAAAACTCTAAGAGATACAGTGGTGTGAAAAAGTATTTGCCCCCTTCCCAAATTCTTCCAGTTTTACATATTTTTCATGCTTGATTGTTTCAGATCATCAGACTACTGTTTATATTGGACAAAGATAACCCTAAGTAAACACAAAATGCTGTTTTTAAATGATGATTTCATTTATTGAAGGAAAAATGCTGTACAGCCATACCTGGCCCTATGTGAAAAAGAAATTGACCCCTTTAGCTACTAAATCAACCAGTTAACCAAATTCAATTGACTATTGGGTTCAGTTTCGCCAGCCACACCCAGGCATGAATACTGTCAGACCTGTTGAATCCAAACATCACTTAAATAGAACCTGTCTGGCAATGTGAAACAGACTAGAAGGTCTCAAAAAGAAGCACATGATGCCATGTTCTAAAGAGACTGAAATACAGATGCATAACAAAGTTGTTGAAATCTGCTAGGCTGGAAAGAGTTGCAAAGCCATTGCTAAGGCTCTGGGACTCCACGGAACCACAGTGAGAGGCATTATCCACAAATGGAGAAAACTTGGAACAGTGGTGAACCTTCCCAGGAATGGCCATCCTACCAAAATTTCACCCAAAGCGCATCATTGACTCTTCCAGGAAGAACCCAGATGAACATCTAAAGAACTGCAGGCCTCACTTGCCTCATTTAAGGTCAATGTGTACAATTCCACAACAAGAAAGACACTGGGCAAAAACAGCATCCATGGGAGAGTTGCTGACCAAAAACAAACACAAAAGCTCGTCTCGCATTAGCCAGAAACATCTAGATGAACTTGAAGACCTTTGGGATAATAATCTGTGGAGTTATTAGTCAAACGTGCACCTTTTTTGGAAGACAGGGGTCCCATTACATTTGGCGTAAAGCTAACACCACATTCCACCATAAGAACATCATACCAAGGGTCAAACATGGTGGTGGTAGTGTGATAGTCGGGAGCTGCTTTGCCTTTACAGGACCTGGATGACTTGTCATAATTAATGGAACCATGAATCCTGCTCTCTGTCAGAAAATCAGAAAATGTCTGCACAACAGTTTGTGAGCTAAAGCTCAAGCGCAGTAGGGTTAGGCACCAGGACAGTGGTTTGAAGCACACAAGTCCACATCTGAATGGCTCAAAGGAAACAAAATTAAGGTTTTGGAGTGGCCGAGTCAAAGCCTCATTGCAAGTTATCGCAAACGTTTGATTGCAGTTGTTACCAGGTTAAGGGTGGCACAACCAGTTATTAGGTTTAGGGGGCAATTACTTTTTCACATGGATGATGCAGGTTTTGAATAAATCTTTATCTTTGACCATTTAAAAGCTGCATTTTGTGTTTACTTGTGTAGTCTTTATCTTATATTAAATTAGATGGATGATCTGAAACATTTAAATGTGACAAATAGGCAAAAATAGACGAAATCGGTTGGGGGCAAATACTTTTTCACAGTACTGTATGTATGTTTAGGACTCTTGGCTGGTCTATTTTGTATGTAAGGATTTACACAATGAGCATATTGATGGGCTGTAGGTAATAACACCATTCTCAGGCATGGCAGCACATATTGTCATGTTTTCCGATGCTTGCTTGACTCATCCACAGTCATCTACGGTGTTTCAGCCACATCTGCTGCCTTATCAGCATACACAGTGTGGAGTCATTTGCCTCCATCATTCTCTATTGGAGATGCAAAAAGAATTTACAAAATAATTTATATATAGTACCTAATTTCTCAAGATTCTCTGCTAACAATCTTTTTATTTGTACATTATGCCAATAATAGATCGCTGCGGCTTATGTAATATGTAAGTTTGACAGTTTATGACTGTTGGCTGGTCAGTTCTGCATGTAAGTATGCAATGAACATTTTGTCATCCATTTTGATCTCCAAGGCTTACTGGGCATCTCTGACCCAATAGAAGACACCTTTACTTAGTATTCACAAAAATCAGCTCCAGCATAGGGGTGGTTGGTATGCTGGTATGAAAGTGAATACCAGTATGATGTTGTCTCATAATGTGAATTTTGCCATACTGTGGATAACCTGATAAGCCCAAGTGTAATGTTCGCCACATGCCATGTTCTTGAAGAACATGAACACATTCGGTTCGGTTCACATTCAGTCACGCTGTGCGTATCTTTACTTTGCAAGGCTTTCCATTTTAACTCTTTTGTTTCACTCTGTTGGACAAAAAAGTTTTTTCGCATCACTCAGGGTTGCCAGATTTGTGGTTTCCCGGCAAATCCGGCTAGTTCTGTAGTGCAGTGCAGGCAAAAATTACTGCTGAGCACAGCGGTAAAGCTTTTACAGATATAATTCTACCAAACAAATAAACAAAAGTCTGTCACTTTGCTCATTAAAAATATAATTTTAAAAAGAGCACTGTACATTTGTTTACCCTAAACAGCATTCTGACACGTGATTGGGCAATTGTTTCAAGCCTGGTGGACCAGGAAACTGTTAAGCGCGGCGAAGAAGAATGAATCAGCTGGTAAAACCCATCGAATGGGCGCAGAGTAAACTTACTGTGATAAACACAATAAGTCTGGAATAGTGAGCTATCTCTGTTAGATATAGCAAAGAGTGAAATATAATTTTAGATGCCACATATAGAGCAAAATGAAATTGAGAATGAGTGAAGAGATAAAAACAAACATGAGGAGAGGCTGCAGGAGAGAACCACTAAAAACTGGTTCCACAATGAAAAAGCTAGAGTGTGTTGTAGTACTTACACAATGAAGAATACTTTTTAGTTGCTGCTATAATAATAATAATAATAATAATAATAATTATAATAATAATAATAGCAAATATTATAATGTTTCACTTTTTTTGATATCGTGATAGTTATAGTCTGAATAGTAGAAAATACTATGTATATATAAATTTATCTATATATGAATTTGAGTGTTGAAACTATTGAAAAACACTGTAAAATAAAAAAAAATAATTAAAAAAACACCATAAATATGCGTACTTTACCTGTAAAATGTTCTTGTTGAAGTCTGAGCGATTTCTGAAGGGTGCTATTTTGGTGCCTCTGTCCCTTCAGTAGAGTTGTATTGGAGCAGGTGTGTGGGGGGCAGACAGGCTGTTTTCAGAGCGGTGGGCCTGGGAGGAGGGTGTAAATGGAGACTTGAGCAGTCATTTGTGTTTGGGCTTTGCACCTTCTTCAGGTGGAATGGAGTCAGGAGTCATGCTGGCAGACGTGTGGTGCTACATGTCCCTGCTGGATAATTGGAACCTGGTGTCTCGAATGACAGTCCCCCGCTGCCGGCACAACAGCGTGGTGTATGACGGCAAGCTGTACACCATTGGAGGACTTGGGGTGGCAGGGAACCTGGATAATGTCGAAAGGTACGACATACACATACACATGCACACCGTGCTTGAATCTAAATTAAACATTTCATCAGGAGCCATTATGCATTCAAGATAAGAGTGTGGTCAGCTCTTTCTGTGCTGGAAGCCAATCTGATAATTAGATCTCTGCTGGGGCATTGTGGGAGTATTTCTGTGGCAGGTGACTATGGTGCAAATGCATTGCAGAGATCAGATCAGGTTTCATTATGAATACTGCTGCTCAGACTGTGGCTATAATGAACTGTAGTAGCTTTTCACAATCTGGCCAGTTGCTTTAATTAAGACTGCGGTTTTGAAGGTAAAACAGATGGTGATACTTTACTGTAGAGCAGTATTAGTGTTCATAAGGCTACATGACACAACACCTATATAAGCCCTTCATGACAACTGACATAGACGTACATAAACATTCATAAACGATTATTCTAACAGGCAGCAGTTGTCATAAAGGTTGCATTTGCCAACTTTGCTGTCAGTTAACAAGATTTTTTCTGATGTTACATTGTGTTGTGACACTTTACTTTTAGACTTTGTAGCTCAGTGTAACAGTAACATAACGGTGATACAACATGGCTTGCCAAGTCAGGTACTTGCGTAAAATGAATTGCATTACCGTTTATATTTATGTCACATCATCAACATTATGTTGCTGTGATCGGTAGATGGATCATTCAACCAATTTGATTCAAATTCAGAGTTGAAAACACATTTCAGACCTTTAACAGGCTTGAACATTAGACTAAAATTATTTTGCTTTGAGTGACCCTAAACCTTTATCATGTTTGGTGTTTCAGTAGTGACAATTTTAGCTAATTATGATCAGAACTTAAAAAAAGGCTAGCCAGAAAATGACTAGCAAACACTTAAAACAGTTGTACATACATAAAAACCCAATATTATTCATTAAAACACAAAAAAGTTTACTTTTTAAACTTAAAAAACTTAAAAAAAGTTATAGAAAATGTGTGTTTTGGTAATGAAAATTATTAATGTTACATGCTGATTTTCAGGCTTTGGGACACCTTTACTTCAAAACAATGCTATCTAACTGCTCACCCTTTGACCATGAGGGACAGGGATGCAGTCTTACTTCCTGCTCTAAAATGCAGGGCTGAGGCTTAAATAAAGCTCCAGCTGTAGACTAAAACTCTTTGTTTTTCGGTAATGACATGAAAACATGAGACAGCAGTTTTTGAATTTTTTTTTGTTTAATGAAACTCATAGTAAATCTAAATCTTTCAGCTTCACTTTATCAAAAAGATCTTTCAAAAACATCATTGAAAAAATAGCCAAAAAAATAGTATTTTCACTAAGCCACCTCCTAAAAAGTACCTATCAAATGATTATTTTGAATATACATATATCACTGTTGTCGGAACAAAACCTTGTGTCTCCAAAATAAGAACTTTACAGGAGAAGGAAAAAACATACTCTACTTTTAATGTAAGTCAATGAAACCAGTTTTTTCCAAGTAATTTTGGGTCATTTCTGTTGGTCCATTCATCATGAAATTTACACACAAAGTAAAGGACAACAGGTATTTTAAAATTATGACAAAAACTGAAAAAGTCTATTAATTCAGTGGGTTTAAATAGATTGTAACATAATCCTCTAAGGTCTGTTATATATATATATATATATATATATATATATATATATATATATATATATGATATATATAGAGTTTATATATATAAACTCTATATATAGAGAGATATAACAGACCTTTTTTAATAGATTTTTTACTGTGGAATCACAGTTTGAATTAATTCAGTAGAATGGTCTCTATACACTAAGCTACAGAGTCAGTTGTTATAACAAGTAATGTCACTTCATCTATGACACAACTCAATGTCAGAAAAAACAGATCTTTACAAATTTTATGTAAGTCTGTGTCCATTTTTAGGGCTTATGTAGGTTATGTAAAGTGTTACCACACAGACAGTATGTGTACATGAAAGCTCCATGTATATGATAGTGGTCTTTTGAAATAATAGAGGGAAAACTGATATGTTTTCACATTTGCTTTCATGCTTGTGGGTATACTTGTCCAAAAAGTGTTTTGCACTTCTTTCCATTCTTGCTTATTTTCCTGTTGAAGGGATAGACAAGATAAAAATAACTGTATTTCCCTAAAAGCAGCATCACTCATTTCATTTAATGAAAAACGCTGTGTTGATGCTTCAGGCCTTGGCATTCTATTTGCATCTCGCACTTATTCTTTACTCTTGCCATAAAAAAGTAGCTAAAATTGACTAGCCTTGTCTATAGTACTACCCAGGCTCGTATATTGCCCACTCCAGTGAGTGTCTTGCCTCCTGTGGATTTGCATGAGTCACTACTTAATTGACGGAGCATTGGGGGAATCATTGTTTACAGAGCAGTGGTTGGCTTGCTATTCGAAGCTGCTAGGAAAAAAAAAGCCTGGCCTCTCTGACTGACTCCTAATTTGTGGCTTGCCATCCATCTTGCCTTCAGTTTCATGCTTCTAACCATGAAATCTCCTCCGTTCAGAATTATGTCCTCAATCAGTCTCTTTCTCAAGGCCGCTATTGGGCCACTCATAGGAGGGGCTCTATTTCTAATCAATCACAGGGCCATGTGCTCTCAGCACTCTCTGTATCTCTCTCTCTCTCTCTCTCACTCACTCTCTCTCCCTCTGCCCCACTCTAATTGCATAATGATTCTGTTTTTCCACTACAGCAAATTGCCCATATTAATACATCTGTACATGGCACACATGGTTTTCTATTTCCGATAGACGCATGTAAGGTAAAAACACTCCAGAGTAACGTGAAATGTGCTCCAGAGGAAGAAAAACCTCATCAGAAGGCATAGTTTGCATCCCTCCAGTGTTGCGCTCATCACAGTGGCTGAGCATGTGTCAGCTGCAAGGCTTCTAACCTTTTACCATTTTGAAATACCACACCCCTAGAGGCAGGCCTTGCAGTGGGAGGGGGGAGCATTGTGATTATGCCAAGGATGTTCCCTACTCAAGTGTTATTACCAGCACTTACAATTTAATTGGTCTTTGATGATGGATTCTGGTCACAAAGCCACACTCTCTCCCCGTACCCAGCGCCATGCAGCCTCGCAAGCTCAGAAAGGAAGCCATCTCTGGCTGAGAGAGTTAATTCTCTCCGAATTTATTCCATTACATGAACACATTCATCTCAGCATTCTGTACCACTCCGTAAGGTCACAGTGCAGTTGACCTTTCACAAATGCGTTCTTTCGTGGCAACTGTTAAGAGGTTAGACAAGCCAGTCAGAACAACCCCTTTCATTCTTTTTAAGAGCTGCGAGTGTATTGGCTTTGCAGGGCAGTGAGGATTTTTGTCAAACATTCTGTAAAGCTTGTGCAACCTGGTAACAGTTGCTATAGAAGAGCCTGTTTGTGAGTGGAGCATAGAAATGTCAACTAAATAGGAAGGTGATCGAAGAAACATCAGAGAATTGCTTATTTTGATTTTATCAATTCTCCAATATAAGATAAGCTTTCTTTGTAACTATCTACTTAAATTCTCCCCATAAGATGATATTAATGTAATATATGAATGTGAGAAAATGTCACATCTTTACACTGTTTCACGCTGAATTTTTTACTTTGAGGCTTATTGAGTTCTCCATAATACTCAGTTCAAGGCTTTGAGGTTGTTTTTGAATCCAGAAACTCCCTTGTGTTCGTTTCCTGAAGAAGTAAAGCGAAGAGGGAGTGCTGGTTGTTCCCAAGCTGCCCCACAAATGAATCATTAAGCACGGCTCTTGGATTTCGGCTCCTGGAGGTAGCCAAAGCCAGCGCTCATTGTGGCACACTGAGATAGAGCACCCGACCGCGCTAGCTCGACACACCATGGGATTAAAGGCGCTGATAATTTTCCTTCCTCCTGCGCCTTCATCTCTCTCTCTCTCTCTCTTTCTCTCTCTCTCTCTCTCTCTCTCTCTCTCTTTCTCTCTCACAGCTCTCCACCCGGCTCCCAGCAGCGCCTTTCAGACGTTTGCTGGAGCTTTTGCTTTTGGGCCGCTACGTCGAACCCAAGCGGCAAAGGCAGCCCCAAACATTTTTTGACAGTTTTCTTAATTGAAAGTCTCTTTCCGCACTCGCTGTTCAAATGAGCTTCTCTGGTTTCCACCAGTATCTCTCCTCTCAGTGGACTCTGGTGTGTTGGTCAGAGCACAGCTGGCGTTTAATAGTGGCTCACACTGCCTTCAGCTCTGCAGGGCATCTGCTTCACCCAGCTTCAATAAGCTGCTGCCGCTAGGTCCGAAAAAAAAGGACCTCTGAAAACATTGTACCTATTTAAGAAAATTCTCTGGCTTTGATGATTGTGCTCCAACAGAAATCTCAGGTGAGAGAGTTATATGGATACTCTGATAGCTGTAAAGCCTTTGGAATCAGCACACAAAGAGCCAGAGTGCACAGTGTGTAACAGCTCTCCATTAAAAGCACAAGAACACTCAAATACAGAAGTGAAGTGAATACCATAAAGGAAAAACACAGACTGCTTCGCAATTTTCTGTCTGGCCTGAATAGATTTAAAAGGTATAGCATATATCTGTAGAACTTATACATTGCAATCTCTTGGAATAATTTAGTCATGAAAATGATTGACCATAAGCATAGAGAACTGGGCCGTTGAATTTCTTCTCTGCTTTTATCTGCTTAGACTTTGTCAGAGGATGTGGTTGCCTTTGTGTCCTCCATGGAGGGCACTGTGGATTAAGTCTGTCCCCTTCAAATTTATTATAATGCCCTGTTGATTTTCCATAATGCAAATGTTCTTGACTGCCTTTCCTCAATACCTTCAGCTAAATGTCAGTGGATGATACTCTTGACCTTTTAGGGAACTGCCCATCTGTGCTTGAGCTGAATCGAAATCAGAAGTGTTTTGGGTTGTTTTCTTTAAAAAGTGATCTATAAGCATTAAATATATCATATCAAATTAGCAGAATTCAAAATAAAAGTCCTGTCTAGTTACATAGAGTACTGTGCAG